AAAAACAAGACTAGACTTTTTATAGTGATGAAGAGTATATTACATTTGTCGTGTTTTGAGTTGTCTGTTACTCACTACTGAGAGCCCGTATTTATAAAGGATTTGAAGAATACGTATAATTGATGCTACTAGTTTATTCTTTTGAATTATTCAGCAGACAAACTATTTAAAGTAGTAGAAATAAATATGAAACCCAACCTATCATTTAATTCACCACTTTTTCCCGAGTTATACAAATTTCATGGAATTCCACATCTCTCAGTAATACTCGAGAAAAGTAAACGAATAGAACAAGAATAAATTTCTTACATTGGTTGGGTGTATATTACACGTATGGTGTTTTGCTTTTTTTTTTTACTAACCAAATTGAACCTCTATTAATTTAGGATTTGAAGAATACGTAGCGCGTGAAGAATATGATGCTACTAATTCTTCTGAATTATTTATCAGACAGGCTACTTCTTCTCTAAAAATTACCAATGGCTTCAAAAAAGATTTTAAGATAGTTTTTTTTTTTAATAGCTGTTTACCAATCTTTTGACACTGATATCGCTAAGAATATTTTCCCTCTTGCTGACAACCACCTTCAGGAAATAATTCCTAATTTTCCCATGACTTAGACTGTAGTTTTCTTAATGCACATATTACTGTGTCTGATATTCATTTTGACCTCAATAAACCTCCTTCACTAGCAAACTCTTACGGATCTATTAGTCTTTCCAGTACTGTGAGCAAGGCATTTGACTATATTTTGGTATTTTGGCTCCACACTTCTATTTTTAGAAAACAACCTCCTACCCAAATGTTAAGCTAGATTTCTGCCTTATCTTTTCACCCTAGATCAACTCTTTAGGCTTTCTGATATTAGTACCAATCATTTAATACCAGTCGCCCATCTTGCCCCCTGTTTTTTTTTTTACTTTGAATAAGAATTTAAAACCGTTTGGTATCGCGGATTTATCTATAAACTTTGATATATATGAAACTACCTTTTCCTCACGTCTATCTTATAAATTATTTTTTGTTGATCATCCCACTGAAAAACACTATCTCGACCCTTCAACATCTATTTCACAAGGTTCTGTTTTATCACTTTCACTTTATATACTCTATGTTGCAGATGTACCACATCCTGTCCATCTTTTTCAGTATGCAGATGACACAGACCTACTAGCTGCTTGCCCTATCATGATCAGGGTACTTCATCAGGATACTTGATCGTTTTCTCTAGTAATGTAAAGTCTGGCGTCTTACCCTGAACTAAAACTAAAGCTAATACTTTTTGGTCCAAGATATAGGAAATTTAAGCCTTGTCGTGTTCTACAACTCTTCAATATCCGTATTGATCATGTTCCATGTAGCTTTCCACTTCTGTAAAATATCTGAGTGTTACCTTTAACATGCATCTCACCAGGAGAGCGAACTTTACTGCATCATGCTCCAAAGTCGTCAAGAGAATTAATCTCATGTGATGCCTCATTGGGACCTGCTGGAAATTGAATTATCTCCTATTAATCTATACTCAGAACTATTTTGTTCTTCTATGTATTAATCATGGTCATACTGCGTGGATATTAGCTTCCTCTTAATATTATTACACAGGCCTGCGAATTTAAACTTGATAAAAGTTATTTTGGTTATAATAATGGATTTTAGATGATTCAGCTACGCAGATTTCGAAAATAATATTACTTTTTTCTATCATAAGGCTTTTTTATATATCGGGAAGGAAAAAAACAACCTTACTTAGATCAAATCTTTATTTCATTTACCACAATGAACATTTTTTATTATTATGTTTGTTAACAACAATACAAACAAACTGAAGAAATGGGAAGAACATTGTTGTCAAATGAATATGCATCTCCATTCAACCTGATTTTTTTCTTCTGAAATTTACGTCTTTCAGTCTCAAAACTACGTGTTGTGGTCTTTCTTATATGTATTGCGTTATGGCGTCTTGTGAAAAATCTCTACGTGATAGAGGAAAATGAATATCATTTTCGGATTCAGTGAACAGGAATTACTGTAGAACATGTAAACATTTCAAGACAATAAAACCATTGCAGGCCTATGTTATCGTCTAATGGCTGTGAAACGTCACGCTCTTATAATAGTTTTCCAAATTCGTCTTCTCACTCCCATCAAAGAACGACAGGGCTGTGATTACCTTTCCTCCCAGCATTTCATTCCTTCATAAACTTTGTCAAAAATACATGCACATGTGCTTCATGAGCAATAATGTTATCCTAGTAGAGTTGTTGGATGCGTCTGTAAATCTTCCACGGAAGCTCATTCCACATGCTGTGCATCTCCTCAATATCTATTGATGTCTCTTCCAGTGGACGACCCAACTTTTGGTGCTTTTCCAATGCCATTTCTGCTGTCTCATATCTATCCATCTTAAGCAATCCAAGTTTCTCACGCACTGTTGTCAGATTTTTCTTGTTTGATCTGCCATACCATCACTTCTGTCCCCCTCTAATTCTCCCACATGTTTCTTCAGTCTCGTTTCTCCTACCCTGACAACATATTTCTATTTTTTTTACTTGATCATCTCTACATCGATAAATATTACTACAATGTGGATATTTCTCCTGACGGAAGAGAGAGGGCACAAATCTCTGCTGGATCTCTAGTTTCCTTACTGACACTGGCATGAAATAATGCAAAAAAATTTGCTACACGTAATCCTCTGCTACTCGTCAGGCTTATGAGCTGAAATAAAATGACAGAGTTAAATTGTTAGATCTTTTGGTTTTGTCTTGTCCAAGGTTACTGGTGAGAAGTGGAATTCCCTGAAACCGATATAAGTGGTGAATTGAATAGCAAATGGGGTTTCATATTTATTTAAATTGTTTTAGATAGATTGACAAAACTAATAGTAGTAATGCTACATGTTCTTCATATCTTATGTATAGATATACGTTCACTGTGATGATAATAGGTAACTCAAAACACCCTATACACGAGGTCAATGAGGGTTTGGAGGTCGAATTGGAGGTATTATAGATCTTGCTCTAAGTGTAGTCGTATTATTGAAACATCACGATCAAACTCTGTGCTCCGCTTTATAAAATTTAAAATATTTTTTATTGTATGTTATGTCAAGGATTTTCGTATTGTGCAGTTGGTCACAACTTGTGCACCTGTAAAAATATTCGAGCAGTTGAAAATTCACACATATATAAGTAAGGTCAAGTGGATAAATATGAAAAAAAAACATATTTAAGATTATAAAATTTCATTCCAGACTGATAAATAAATGTATTTATTAGAACATTCTTAATTTTTTGGATTATTTGTTATTAGGCCTGTATTTTTGAGATGCAATATGGCGTCAGGTATTAAAAGATGATGGAGTTAAAATATAATTGTGCAGTTTAAAAACATCCTTAGGAAAAGCTCTGTGTTATGCAAAGAATCGTAGGCTGCTTTGGTGACACATGAACTTTCTGAAACAATTGTGGAATGCAAAACATTATTTAAAACTTTACTTCGTAGAATATGAGACCCATTTTGGTATTTTTATCGAAGAATTAATAATTGAAAAAA